TGACCAACCAGACAATCAGAAATCTTCCTTACCCTCCTTCTTTGAGGGTTTTCTCTTTCTTCTAATTTCTTTGCTTTTCAAGCCTCCATATTATGGCTTTTAATAGGTATAAGTTTTTTCCCCCTGCTTTGACTCCTTGTAATACCTTGATCTTCTGACTTCTGCTTTTAATTGTTGACTAAGGGAATAAAAAATTCTTATGTAGCTTTGTTTTCTGGTTTTCATTTTGCATGTTCCTTTTTTTGTTGTCTGAAAATGGGCAATATGGAATTCAGGTTGTCTGTTTTTGCTAATGGCTGGGTATTTGTATCATTTTCTATTGTTTTCAGATAGATGTTCAGTGGTTTTCTGAAGCTTCTTTTACCATAGCGGTGTTGGCATCTGCCCTTGGGAGCATTGCTAGATGGTGCTACATTTTCTATGTATTGTCCTTACCATGGCGATATCTATAGATCCTGAAATCTTTTTACACTTTTCTGGTCAAACATTGAGGGAGAGATCATTGATTCATGAAGGTCTTAGCAGACAGCAACTTCTAAAAATTACTCTCTTTGGGTATATTTGGTATATTAGTTGGATTCATGCCATTAAACTAAAAAAAGAATTTTTCAAAATTTCAACGTAAGTATGCCCACCTTGAAAAAACCATTCAAGATAGTGGCATCATTTTTGTCATCCATTCTGTTATTAGGTAGCATGTAGCAATCCTGGAGTTCATATTAAGTGCAGATTTTCAATTCCTTTAGTTTCTTCAGCTTTTCCCTTTTCACATTCAAGTAGCTCCTCAATTTCTGCTTTTATTTCATCTAATCTGAGTTGAAGAATGGTTATCTCTTATGATTGCCTTGCACTGATCCACAATACATTTTCATATAATTTGGAACTGAGAATATCATTGACAAAAAGTTGTATGAAACCCTTGCTTATAACTGATCTGATACAGCTCCAAATTTGTTATGATGCATGGAGTATGGACTGGTATGCAGTAAGAGCATCCATAGTTTCAGTTATTTCAGGTGAACCTATAGCCCACCCACTTTGGTGGCCAGTGCCATCTGAAACAGAGCATCTCCAGCAGATGGGGGATTGGGATTTCTGATTTGTTTGGATCTATTTTGCCTTCTGGTGGTAGCAGAACTCAAAGGAGTGCCACACACTCCTCTGTCCTCTGTGTCAATGATTTTGATAGGATCAGTCTACACTCCCATGCTCCACCATCTAGCTCTTGGATTAATAGGAACAATTATAGGGTGTCAACTTAATCCGTAGTACCATCAAAACCCATTTGGCAATGATTCAAGATTCCTGCCAGTCCTTAAGGGACTCAGAATAGACCCTGCTGAATATCACCCAAACTGATATTCTCTTCTCTTTGTTATTACTCATCCCCCAAGGGGTAAGTGGATGAGGCCTTAGCTATTATTGAACCTAACCTCTCATTTTCTAGAGAGGATACTGAGTCTCAGAGAGATAAGCCTAAGTCAGTTTAGGTGACAAACTTGGCAAGTTGGACTGAGGTCTTCTGACTCAAATGCAAGAGTTCTTTTCACTGCGCCTTGTACTCTGACTGAGTCAAAGCCATGAAATATACCAATATTGGACTTCATATCGGTTCCTTTGGAATTGATGAGCAAATTAGGATTGGGAATGACAGGGTACTTGGAAAGGTATTTTGCTCTAGCCAAGCTAGTCCCATAACTCTATCCTGAGTAAGCTTTGTTCACTCCTGACTCTTCCTCTCAAAGTTTCCTTCTCTTAGAACTCAATTAAATTCAATCATCACTGCTTATTAAGCAATGCATGCTGCTATGCTAGGTGTTGGTGGCACAAAAGTGAGCATGACATATTCCTTTTCCTCAAGGAACTGTCATTCTACTGGGGGAAGGCATCAGGATTTGGAGATAACAAATGATAGGATGGATGAATTTACTATAAAATATGTATTGGAAGAAAGGAGAAATCTGGAAAAAAGCATCCCAGGAAACTGGAAGCAAGTGAACATAATTCCATAGAAGGGAGAAGGAGAAGGCTTCCCAGAAGAGGTATTACTTGAGCTCAACCTTGGAGGAGGAGAAGGATTTTGAAAGGTAGAGATGAGAAAGGCATGTCCAGGCATTGGAGATTGCTTGTGTGGAAGTCTGGGAGATAGCTCTCCTGCTTCACCCCTCCTCCATCTCAGTTTTACTAATTTTTCAAGGCTCAGCTCAAGGCTTATCATCTCCAAAAACCCTCCTTGGGCTACTCCACTTCCCACAATGATCTCTATTCATTCTCGATTCCCATAGCATTTAAAGCTTCTACTCATTTAGCACTTGTTCAATCTAGCCTTGGATTGTGTAATTATAGAGTCAGAGGATGTAAGCCCTAGAACAGGATATTCTAGCCCACCTCCTTCATTTTATGCAGAAAGGAGCTGAGGGCCTAAGAAGGGAAAAGATTTGCTTAAAGTCATTCAGCGAATTGTGAAGTAAGGACTAGAACTTTTGTTTCCATCTCCTATAGACTGCTGTCGACCAGCTGCTTTCTCTCAGCTCTAAAGTTGTGTGTGTGTGTGTGTGTGTGTATGTGTGTGTGTGTGTGAGAGAGAGATAACCAAATCTTGATACCTTCCTCCAGCAGAATGTCAGCTCCTTGAGGAAAAGTAATATGTCATGTTCATTTTTGTGCCACCAACACCTAGCATAGGCTCAGAGCTCTATTCTCTGCACCACTCAGTTTTGTGTGTGTGTGTGTGTGTGTGTGTTGTGTGTGTGTGTGTGTGTGTGTGTAGTGGAAGGACCACTGTACTTAGAGTCAGAGAATCTGGGTTCAAATGCTCACTCTCTTCTTATCTGGGTTACCACAGACAGCTACTTAACTAACTTCTCTGGAATTCAGTTTCCCCTTTAGCAAAAAGAAGGGGTTGGACTAGATGACCTTTAAGGCCCCTTCTATCTCTAAATTCATGACTTCTGATCTGTGATCTATAATTAGTCATAAACTAAATGTAGGAAAAGCATGTGGCTACCCACAGGGCGTGATTAGATGGGGCACAATGAAGTTATGCCTGCCCCAAGATATCTCCTCCCAGGGTTGTCCTATGAAGGCAGGAAAGTTCAGCCACTACTCATATGTGAGCCAACCATGTAGTCGGCCCAAAATAGACACTCCTTAAATGATTGTTTCCTGATCTTTTCAACCAGAACCATCTTATAGACAATTCTGTCTCCCCGCATACCCATAGGAATGTTACCTTTTTTTTTTTAGCAGAATCTTGGAGAAAAACAAACTCTAAGCCCCAACCAAGAGGAAAAATAAATATTCTCCAGCATTTTTAAGATAGAGTTTTGTTATTTCAGAGTAGCCCAAACAACTTTCAGGATTGAGAATCTGATCAGACAAAAAGAATCAGTAAATAAGGCAATTTGGTAGGGAAAATGATATGATCTGGCATGTAATCCTCACCTGGAAAAATTAGATAGGTTCTAGCAAGTCTGCTGGTACTGAATAGGTGAGTCAGAAAGACTCACCTTCCTGAGTTCAAATCTGGCCTTGGACACTCAATAGCTCTGTGACCCTGGGCAAGTCACTTAACCTTGTTTGCCTCAGTTTCCTCATCTATAAAATGAGCTGGAGAAGGAAATGGCAAACCGCTCTAGTGTCATTGCCAAGAAAACCCCAAATAGAGTCATGGAGAGTTGGACATGACTGAAAATGACTGAACAACAACAAAAGCACGTCTATGTTTTATGTGGATGACAACATGTTTTGTATACGGTTAACCCTTAAAGAAATAGAAATTTTTCCTGATGTATTGGACTTAGGGAACGGGAATTTTTTTAATAGATAGCCCTAAGCTTATCGAATGTCTGCTTTTTGAGTTCAGTTTGAACTTTTATTTCATCCCATCTTTTTGATTTTTTCCTTTAGATTCTCACTCTTCCTTTGAGACACAGCACAAATTCCCTCAACTACAAGAGCCCTACCTCTCAAACTATCTTGTATACATTGTGTTTATTTTCTGTATTTATCCTATACATGCTTCTATATGTCCTCATGGACGCTGCCCGTTAGAATGTAAGCTTCTTGCAAGTAAGGAATGTTTCATTTATTGCATTTACATACCCCTGTACTTAGAACAGTGCCTAGAAATTAATAAATATTTAATGACTGATTGATTCTGATATGACCAATCAGAAAAGGAAAACAAAACTTTCTCACCTCTAAGATTTTCTATTAGACTAAATTTATGACTCCATAGTTGAAGAAATGTACACAAATCAAAATATGGTATAATTATTGAATTTAAAATCACAAATTAGGTAGGAAAAATTGGCTTTGTGTATTAAATTTCCTAATTAAATTTGAAATCACAAATTATGTAAGAAAAATTGGTTTTATATATTAAATTTCCTAATTAAATTTCTCCAGATATATTCACTATTTTGATAAAATTGGAAATTAAGAACTTGATTATCAGAGTGTTACAGTCTCTTCTGACAATTTCCCCTAATATGCTTTGTTTCTGTCTCTGTCTCTGTCTCTATCCCTGTCTCTGTCTCTACCTCTGTCTCTCTACCTCTGTTTCTGTCTATCTCTAGCTTCTGTGAAACCATGAGTTTCTGCTGTCACAGAAGTGGATATTATAGTTGCAGAAATTCCCCAAACCCTGTAGTGACTTTACTTACCTTCTCTGTGCTAGATATACTCGTCTTAATTTTATTTCCCTATACTTGGGAGAGGTATTTTTGTTACTCTGTCTCCAAGCAGAACAGTCGAGTATGTAATTTATGATCAGAAGCTATTTAGATTAAACCTGTCATCTGAATAACTAACAGCTCAGGCTAATTCTCATTTTGCTACATAGGGATTTGTACATTCATTTATGAGCTATGATTTCCCTGACATGACCAAGGCATATTTTACTTATGAAAAGTTGTACTTTTGTTTGTGAAGATGTGCTGTAAAAGTATAAATTATTTATGAAGACTTGATAGAATTTTTGAATGCTATGATTTCAGATACTGAAGCTGTGATCTCACCCCAGGATTGTCTTGTATTCATTCTGCATGTGTTTTGTATGGACAGACAGTTTTCCCTCAGGTGAGCACGTGAGCCTTGAAGGCAGAGAAGGTTTCATTTTTGTCTCATAGGGTCTAGCATGCAGTAGGCATTCAATAAATGTTTGTTGAATAGACTTGAATTGAAATGAAGAAACCAAGAATGGAGATGTTTCCATGGCATGGGGTCAGGAACACTTCCAGAAATTCACAGTCTCATATATTGAGAGAAAGGGAAAGAACCTTCAATGTCATTTAGTTCAGTTCTTCTGTTTTGTGTTTAGTGGAATTGTCGTATATTGAAAGAAAGGAACCAAGTATTTATTAAGCGCCTACTATGTGCCAGGCACTGTACTATTTTACAAATATCTCATTTGGTCCTCACAACTATACTGTGAGGTGGGTATGTTATTATTATCCCCATTTCACAGTTAAGGAAACTGAGGCAGACAGAAGTTAAGTGACTTATGCTAGTGTCACACAGCTGGTTATGGTTCTGAGGCCATATTTGAACTCTTAGTCTTCCTGATTCTCAGCTCAGAGCTTCATCCTCTGCACCACTCAGTTGACCCTATTGTGACTTTCTGTGTGTGTCTTCTCTCCCCTACAAGACTGTGAGCTTCCAGAAGACAGAGACCATGCCATTAGTAGCTTTTATTATTATCTTAGCAAAGACCTTCCTCACCAATGTCTTGTGAGAAATGTACAAATATCATCATCCCCATTTTATGAATGAGGAATTGAGTCTCAGAGAGGTTAGATCAGTGCTTATGTAGCTAATAAGTATCAGAGCCAGGATTTGAATTCAGGTCTCTTCTTACTCTTAAGTCCAGTGGTCTTTCCCTTAGACCTCACTGTCCTCCCAGTGCCATAACTGAGCATACAGTAGGTGCTCAGAAAATTTTTGTGATAACAATGTGGCCTTAGAAGGACAGGAGGGTCTAAAGCACTATTCTGGTTTTGCTGAAACTTAACCATGAGTGCCAGGAATGGAGCAACCAAAAAGGGGGGGGGCACATAGTTCCTTCCATGAGGTCTTTGTGGGTCTCAACTTGGTATAATGTAAGAGAGATTGATTTACACTCAAAAGACATATCACCAGGGGCATACTGGTAAATGTTTAACAACTGGCTCTCCAAAAAATAAAATTGCCAATTATACGCCTTTTTTTTTGGTGGGCAGAGGCAATGGGGTTAAGTGACCTGCCCAGGGTCACATAGCTAGTAAGTGTCTGAGGCCAGATTTGAACTCGGTCCTCCTGATTCCAAGGCTGGTGCTGTATCCACTGCACCCCCTAGCTCTCCCCAAAACATACTTTTCAGTTTAATTTGCATCATCAACATTTTCTCTATCACTTTCTTAAGTCTAGACATTTATTAAAACAACATATCGAGCTATATTTGTAGCGTTTGCTGAAGTATAAATGCTCACACTGAAAATTTAACCATCAGTTTCACAGGTGATTACAGCTGGTTTCAGTACACCCGACCTTAGCTCCGTTACTTATTAGATGGGTGATGCCTGGGCAAAATCCTTCACACCCCTAAACCTCCTTTTCCTCTTCTGTGAAATGAATGACTGTACTGCATGAGGCTCATCTATGAGGTTACTTCTCTGGCTGTCTGGCTGAGGGCCAGGTCTGTTACTCTCCCTGGTTTCCCCCCCTTCCCCTGCCCATCAGGACTCCCTGATGTTTCTGCAACAAAATGAGCCTTCCTCCTCCCTCCAGGGCTCCATCTGCTCCTGCGTTCCATCAGCCCCCGGTTACTTCTCATTGCTTGGAGTTATATCATCGTGTTCTTGGAACCTTTCTTCAGTTCTCTCTCCTCTGGGTTCCCCCACTTGAAAACAGGCCAACCTTGTATATTTAGATACCGTTCTTGGCCCATCCGCAGTAAGATGCATAATCTGAGCTGTTTCTCTAGAAGTGGAGAGGGGTGGCATCGAGCCATTTGCATCCTCTCACCTGGTTCTCCATGTGAACTATTGCATTTATGAAATGGCTGTGTGGGATGTGTCTGTAGGGCCCAAACTCTAGCCAGAGTCATGGGCAGAGGTGTGGGAGAGCAGGTTTGTGGTCAAGGGTAGGAGGTCAGTCTTCTCCACGTGACTCTACTCTGCCTATTGGCTACAAATCCATAGCTTTGTCCTTACTACCAAGAAGCCACTCCCACTTCAGAATACTTAGTCTGCTTTGCCTGGGAGGAGAGTTCCAGGAAGTAATTTGTTTAGTGGGTCTTCTACCGCATCTTGCAGCAGCCCCTGCAGAGCAGACACTCTTCCATCCTCCCTGCCTGCCCCACCCAATCCGATCAATAACCAAATTGTATTTCTACCTCCCCGACAACTCTTGCATCTGTCCCTGCTCTTCATTCATAACCCTCACTCAAATCCTCATATCCCACATAGACCATCGTAATAACCTCCTAATTTGTCTCCCTAGTTCAAGTCTCTCTTCACTTAAATCCATCCTCCACGCAGATACCAAAGAGATTTTCCTTAAGGGAGGTCAGACCACATCACTCCTCTATTCGATAAACTTCTATTGCTTCTTGTTACATGAGGGATCAAATATTAACCCCCATTTGGCATTTGAATTCCTTTGACAACCTGGCCTCAACATCCCTTTCCAGCCTTATTCAACAGTCCTCTCTTTCATATACACTACAGTTTTCTTTCTGTTCCTTGTATATACTGTCACCTCACCTTTGCATTGGTTGTCTCTATGCCTGATATGAACTCCCTCCTTCCCTTTCGATCTCTTGGAATCCCGAGCTTCCTTCAAAGCTTCATTCAAATGCTACCTTCTATATGAACTCTTTCTTCATTACTCCAGCACTGAGTACCTTCCCTTGAAAATCACCTTGTGTCTGACTTTGTCAGTAACTACCTATGTCCATGTTGTTCTCCCTCCTGAAGGGCAGTTGCTTATTTCACTTTTGTCTTTTGAAGTGAGTCTGTTCTGCTCTAGCCCCTGATTCTAGGGTCAGGCTGCCTACATTCGCCTCTTGGAGTTCACGGGTACCCTGAAGGGTCTCTCCTCTAATGCTCTTATTAGGTGCCAGTAACTAGTCCCCAGTTCCATTTAAGTACTCACTGTCAATGAGCTTTCACAAATAACTTATTTTGAAAATATAGTGAAGGACAGGACAACAATGCCTCTCGTACTCTGCCTTTATCAACTCAGTATCTGTGAAGAACAGGCTCAAAATTTTGTTTACTTCCTATTGATCCCACCAGCTTCATGTCCAATTGGAACATCATGACAGGATGAGTCTTTGTCCCAGCTACTGCTGGGCTGGGTCCCAATGGTCACTCCTTGAGCCTTATGACATTGATGGTGGTCTAGAGGCAAAACTCGGACTCTGGAACGTGGGGAAGATGGAAGCCATGAAATTGGACGCTCCAATTCCTTCACCTAAAATGGAGAGGAATAAAACCCAGAGGCCAAGGACCGTGGCCCATTTCACTGGACAGAAGCACCTCAGAGCAGAGAAAGCCCTAAAGCCTTTCCCGGTCTAGCATCAGAGATCTGATTAGCTAGGAGAGAGTCAAACCAGAGCAGTAGAAAGGAATGAGGCCAAGGCTGAGACTAACAGGATTTTTTGAATGTCTCTGCAGACAATCAACGCGCCTTCTCTTCGGTGAGAAGACCTGAAGCAGTGACAGAGTGTCTACACATGATCCGATGTCTCTCCAAGGCATCTAGGTTATGGGTCCTCCCAACTCTCCTCAAAGTAGGCTCCCCAGTGTCTCCATGTGTGGCAATGACAGCAGACTCCATTACACTTTGTATCCCTAGCACCTGGCACATGACATTGCCTGATCAATGCTTGTTGGCTGACTGATGGATAGAAGGGGAGGGGCTCTTGTCCCCTCTCAATACTTGGATCTGGTACTTTCTAGTTCTGTGATTATGGGCCACTTACTTCATCCCTCTTTTCTCATTCATAAATGCGGGGTTGGACTACATTATCTTTAAGATCCCTTTCAGCTCTAAATGTTGTAGTGCTAAGATCCTAAGGATGAATTTGTCTTGATTAATGAAGATGGTGTTTGGATAAGGTGTAGAGGAAAAAAAAATCCCCCCAGGACATGGCGGCTGCTTCTGTGGCTAGAGTAATTTCCTGGCTTGGTTGGGGGCTATGCTTGACTGAAGGAGCCCACCCCACCTTTCCTGTGAGGGGCCCCCCAACATGGTCAGGTGCTGATGGGTTGGGAAAGCAGGGTGGTGGAGCAGAAAGTTGTGAGAGAATGTAAACATAAAGCCCCTTCATCAGAAAAGGGGATGGAAGGGATGTTCTTCTAAACATGGGACTAGAGGAAAGAGATGGAAACATGGCAGATGAGAAGAGCACTAGACTTGGCCTAGGGAAATCCCGAATTCTCTTTCTCTCTCCTCCCCTCTTCATGGTAGAATCAGTCCAGGGCCAGGGCCCAGCGGGAAACCTCACATTGTAGTAGAAAGGGCAGTAGACTTGGGGTCAGAAACTCTGCATTCAAGTCCCCAGCTTTTACAGTTACAGGCCTTATGACCTTGGGCCAGTCAGTCCCTTTCCCTTTGTAGGCTTCAATTTTCTCTTCCGTAAAACAGAAATGAGAATTCTTGAACCTTACAGAATCCTTGTAAAGAAATTTGCTTTGCAAAACCTTAAAATGCTATGTAAATATGAGTTCTTATTTCCCCCAGGAGTTATGGGGGCCTATTCTGGGTTGGGGGAAAATCAGTCTTTCACTTGGTCCTTTCCCCAGGTAGGGGCTGGTGACTGGTATGGGGATGAGTTTTAGTTTCATTTTTTGTAAAATGATAGCCCTGTTTATCTCTCAGGGCTATTGTGGGAACCAAAGGAAATAACGTTTTTGTGAGAAGATTGGTGAACCGTCCAGCACCATGTGAAGGGAAGGCCTCCTTACTGTAGGGAAAGAGTTCGTGACAGGAGTCTGTTATCAGGGTTTGGGTCTGTTATCAGGTAGGGTCTGAAAACTGTGA